GTTCACATGGGACAGATGTTGAACCAAGTGTCTGAGACAATGTGTACAACCAAGTTATGAATATTTAACTTAAACAAGATGATGAAGCATAAAAGAAATAAATAACAATATAATTTTTAACCCAGTTCAGTGAAACCACACCTACGTCTGGGGGAACTCTACCCAAGAAAGGAAATCTACTATCTTGAATTAGTAGAATTAATCTTATAGGAACATCAACCCCATGATGCTAACTGCCACTTCTTAATCCTAGTGACTTTCTATTTAGGTCTCCCCCTAAATATGAGAACCCCTATCAATTTCTTTCAATCACTAACCCCAAGTGATACACTTCAATAAAACAAATTAGATAATGTTGAATTACAACTCAACTAAACAAACTAACATTATGCCTTATGAATGGGGGCACTAGCGTTGTGTACAATCAACACAATCAAAGGACTAAAAAAAACTCTAACACTATGTAACTTCAATCCTTTCACACGTCCTAAAACATTATGTTTGAGTCTCCATAAATAGCAATGCTTCTTCTGAGATTCTTCCAATGGGTATAAGCAGCTTTAATTTTATCCAGTAATATAGGAGATTATGTTTTGATTTGTTCCACAAAAGTATTCAAAAGATATGATTTGTTTTTTATTCAAATTCAAATTTAAATCTCAATTTAAATTGATTTGATCATGTCCAATCCAATCAAACAAATCTACATAAATGCATTGCTAAAATATAGCAAAAAATATGCAAAAAATATTCTTGAAACAACTAGAAAACACGGGCAAAACAATTACAACATTGGTCGGCTGACAAGGGTCAAATGTTGCACACATGTTGGGACATCTGTTCCCATATGCCAATAAAAAGTATTTATTCTTATCTAGTTACTCCTCCACTCCATGTTCGTCTTCACGGCCTCGAATGATAAGAATAATGCATTATAGGGGGTGAAAGCACTCCAAAATTTGAATTACTTCATGGCCTTAGAGAGGAAGAACACGTGAGTCCACCCTCACAAAGAATTTAGAATCAGGGGTCCAAGAAAGAGGGAACATGAGCTTACCTTCCGCCTCGCGATAACACGAGACACATTGCCTATCCCTCTTATCGGAACAAATTTGTCCTTCAAGCCTCATAAGAATTAGCGAAGGACATTAAAAAGTGAACTTCTGAAAAAGGGTTTAACGTTACCCAATCACTACTGGAAAGAAACTCTGTCCTGAAGGTAACGACAAACTATCTAAAAAGTCATAATTATACCTCAAACATTTGGAATAACTTAGGAAGGGGTCACATTAACACCAATCAAAAATTGTATTTCAAATTGAGTAAAAGGAACCAGAGTCCCCAAATCACAGATAACAGGAAGATGGAGGTAGAAGTTAAAAGAAGATGGATCACTATAAGCATATGTTTGCTCTCTCATTTCTTGAGCAATGCTTCATAAGCACATCCCTCTCTCGTTTCGTGTTGAAAAAATTAATGTCATCGTAAAACTTGCCGAATATATCTGCAATGATTTATGAAACACATTCACACCAATTATGTAATTTTATGATTTATTATTTTCCAACTTTCCACTTAGTTGTTGTATCTATGAAAAACTGTGTCATACTCAAGAACATGAGTGTGATGTGGATCAAATATTGAATATACTCAATTTCTTGAATGTTTGGATTTTGAGGGCTCACATATTAATTGGTTGTGTTTTTTAGGTGGTATGTGTGGTTGTGTTATTATTATGTAAGTAATGAATGTGTTTTTTTTCGTGGTACCGAGTTTACTATATTCATGCCTTTAGGATACTTTTTTGTTTAATCATGTTCTTGTTTCTAAATTCTAACCAATCCATTGTTCTGGTGGTTGTAACTTTTTTCATTTAAATAAGTGTATCTTTATGTGTATTTCTGTTTTATTTAGAAGTTCTTTTAGCAAATTAACTCATTTAAAGTGGGCATAGGTCCATTTGGACCAATTGGAGGTTTTTACGTAATTTCAATGATGTTATCCATTCAATTGAAGAAAATTATTTAACAAAAAGGATATTGTAACAACAATTGAAGATGACAGTTTATCAAAACAAAAACAATTGATCATGACAATCAGTACAAGAAAACGAAATAAACAAAGATCAAGAGAGACAAGTTTGGACGGCATATACAAGTGGACCACTAAAAAATGTTGAGTACTAATAATGCCTAATAATTCAACTAACCTCCACACATTGTAAAAAGATATCTGAGTAATAGAGGCTCTAAATCTTCAAAATAATCGAACAAAAGTTTAATTGAATAAAACAAATACTAAACTCATCCAATCATAATCTCACAACATTTGTTCAATTTTATAATTTATAGAGTTAACATAATATTGTATAGTCATTTAATCCATCAAGCCAAATATGATCACAATAAAAGATTATTTGTTTTTTTAAAAATTTAACACAGCTGTATTTCTTCGAAAAAATTAATTGTTAAATGTGTATAAACTACTAGTTTAGGGTTAACTATTTAGCAATAACCTTTATTTAAATTTATATATTAATTAACGTAAATAAATTATTTATATTTATAAATAAACAATTTTAAAAAATAAAAAATTAATTAAATTATTATTATTTTAAAAAGATTTTAAATATTTATCGTCATTTAGGTCATGGTAAAAATGGTTGACATTGACAACATTATCTTTTTCCGACTATGACGAAGTGAAAAAATGGACTGTTTTGGAATAAATTAGAATTTCACAATGCCTTAAATCGCAACTCTTCGAGGCTCAATACTTACCCCCATAGATTTCTTTGGCTCATCGGTGGGTCACAACCAAAGGTTTGTATCATGATGCATATGTAGTGCTATATTTATTTTGAGAGAAGGAAGAAGATGATGATTAGGAGATGATGTGAATATTTCAACTTCGAATGAAAAAATGGTCTAATGATGATTCTTCTTTAATCCCATCACCTATTTTGTTGCAAATTCATAACCATTTTTGTGTGTTTGACATTCTTTTTCCTGATAGAAAGACGTGGAATTATCAATTAGTCAACCTTATTTTTTATACAATATTTAGTGTTGGAAAAAAATTCAATATGAATTTTTGATTCACTCATAGTAGATAGACGAGTTTGGAGCATAAAGACTATTGAACACTACTCGGTAATGAGTTATTATCAGTTGATTATCCATGACCTTATTGATACTAATTTTCTCATACATGTCAATCACTAACACCTCATTTAAAAGATTAAAACACCATCGAAAATCATGAATTTGATTTGGCATATATCTAAAAATTTATTTCCTACAAGAAACAAGTTATCTGACAAAGGTCTTAATTTCCCCATTAATTGTGATTTATGTGATGATGGTACATAAGACTCTCTACATATATTCTTTAAGTGTTATAATAACTGGAGTATTTGGATATGACTATCTTTCACTGTGTGATCAATGAGGTAATGGATGTTGTAACTCAAGTGTGAGTTAAAAGTTTCACATTGTTTGAAAAAATGGAGGTTGAACACTTTATAAGTGAGATGACTCATATATATAAAATGTCTTAAGATTTTGAGTGAATATGTAGTGTCTCTTTCACTTGTGTGGTTGCTCTTGATCCAAGATGTATGTTCCTCATCGTGATGCATAAGTGGTATCAGAGATGATGGTTCGAGTAAGGGGTCGACTCATTGTATCGAAACTCTTCTTAACAAAGTGGTGTTCTTTGATGTGTTTGTGATGTTGTTAGGGTGTCAATGGCAGTACAATACATGTAAATGAAGGATCTTCTGCTTGATAGGGAGCATAGCAGATGAACTCACACTTGAGGGAGATATTGGTGTGACTTAAGTGTGAGTTGAAAGTTCCATATTATTTGGAAAAGTGAAGGTTGGACCCTTTATATGTGAGATAATTCATAGACTTAATTCCTTAAGGTTTTAGGGTGAATGTGTGGTATTTCTCTCACTTGTGCGGTTACTCTTAACCCAATGTGGATGCTCTTCCTCATAACTCATCAGTGGATAGTGGATCTGATGTTGCTACAATGTTCTTTGATATCATTCAGAAGTTACCTCATGATGATTGTGATCCTTTTATCACTACCATATGAAGTATTGGAAAACAATGAAATAACAAAGTATAGAACAATGAGAGCAAGAAGGGGGTTATGCATATAGTTGTTAACATTTTTCATTCTTGAAAAGATACCATGAAGATAAGAGACCTCCAACCTACTCAAATAAGATCTTGTGTTAAATGGAGCAAGTCGACCATAGAAAGAATCAAATGTAATCTGAATGATTTTTTTTCTACTATTCATAATTGGGTGAGGCTACGTGTTTGCGTCATATACGTGTCCAAATCTTTTGAGTGGCAAAAATCGAATGAATGACTCCAATTTATAATATTTGATTTATAAATATCAACAAATTATTTACACTAATTCATAATATAAATAAATGTTGCCCTTAGAAATTAAACTTTGCAACAACATATTACATAATTTATTTAAATTAGGATTTAACAATTGAACTGCCCCATCCACTCCATCATGGGTCCAATTAATTTTGAATTAGATTCTAAAGTTGTGGTGGATAGTTTTTCTTCTTCTAAACTATATTATACTATTTAATAACATTATTAAGCATCGTAGAGATGTGTTGTCTACCTATTATAATAACTCTAGTGTTAAATTAATTAAGAGAAAAACAAATGAAATTGCTCATGAGTTAGCTAGTAACATAGCTTCTAATAATTGATAAAAATATTACACTATATTAAACAGAATCTTGATTAAAGTAGAGACGGAACACATTTATAATGCCAACAAAATGTCATTTCATTTTATGAAATGAATCATTTTATTTTTTAAAGTAAAATAAAAAAAATAGAAGCTTCCACGTCTATTTAAAATCTTGTTATAAAGTATAACTAATTAAAACAGTCTTTTAAATTAAGTAATATACTATTGGACAACAAATTTAATAACTTTAATTGAACCTTTGTATGTTAACAGCAAATTCCAGCTACAAGAAGAAAAAGCAAAAGAAGAAGCATAAAAGGAACAAGAAAGAAAAAACTTTTTCAACAAGAGTGAAGATGGGTTCTCATCTCTCAAAACAAGTAGCAAAAAGAAAAACAATCCACACCGAAAAGAAAACTCTAACCGATCTAAAATCCTCCGGAGAACAATATCCCGGTTCTGAATATCACCCTTCCGATAGAAAAAACTGGATGAAAGATCTCAATCCAGAGAAACTCCACATCAACCAAATCGTTTGGCCAGGAACACATGATTCTGCAACGAACAAAATCGGTTTCCCACTCGTCACTCGTCCTTTTGCTCAATGTCAATCTTTATCAATCTATCACCAGCTTGTAAGAGGAGCAAGAGTATTAGATATTCGTGTTCAACAAGATCGTCGCGTGTGTCATGGAATTCTCGTTACTTATAACGTCGATGTTGTTGTGAAAGATGTTAAAAGATTTCTCTCGGAAACTGATTCCGAGATTATAATTCTCGAAATCAGAACTGAGTTTGGTCACGAAGATCCGCCTGAGTTTGATAAGTATCTTGAAGAGAATTTAGGCGAGGTTCTCATTCATCAGGATGATAATGTTTTTGGAAAAACTGTTTCGGAGTTGTTGCCGAGGAGAGTTATATGTGTATGGAAGCCGCGGAAATCGGCGCAACCGAAAGCTGGGAGTAGTTTATGGAGTGCGGGGTTTCTGAAGGATAACTGGATTAATACAGATCTTCCTTCAACGAAATTTGACGGGAATTTGAAGAATTTGAGTGAGCAACAACCGGTTACGGCGAGGAAATATTTTTACAGGGTGGAGAATACGGTGACTCCGGTGGCGGATAATCCGGTATTGTGCGTGAAACCTGTTACGAGAAGGATTCATGGATATGCTAGATTGTTTATTGCTCAGTGTTTTGAGAAAGGTTATGCAGATAGGATTCAGGTTTTTTCTACTGATTTTATTGATGAGGATTTTGTTGATGCTTGTGCTGGTTTGACTTATGCTAGGGTTGAAGGAAAAACTTGAATTATGAATCTGTTATGTTCAGTTCTTTTGTTTTCTTGTATTGTATATTTTGGATTTGCAGGTTTGTAAATTTGTGTTTGAATGTAAATTTAAGCTACAACATGCTATGTTCGGTTGAATATACATGAATCAACACGTAAGAATGTAAGATATTGTTGCATATTCGAATTTGCTTCAATGGAATTTTTTATGTGAGATACTAATTGAAATTGAACTGGTTTTACATTATATTTGTAAATCTATAATTTTCCAACAGTTGTGGTTACTATTTATTTGGTAAATAAAAGTAAATTCAATCCAAGTTCATGGAGAAACTTGTGGTTATAATTCTCATTGAGGATGAGTATTCGGATTGGTAGGGTTCACAGAGAAAGTTTCCAAAAAAAAATATTAATTCAGTGTTAGAGTTTCTTCACATATATACAACATTGAGTGGTCCATTGAACATTAGGCACGTATTTTTTATTAATCCACCTCATTTATATTATTTTCAAATACTGTTTATATAAAAAATTTATAATTTTATATAATATTTGGTTAGACTTGTAACTTTAAAAATATTTTAATCATATCAAGAAAAAAATCCCAAAAATACCCCTCTCTTGGAAGGGAATATAGAAAAATTAACCCTTAATTGAGAGGGTATACCACATCATTACCAATACATGGAGAGGATAATGCACACAGGAAATACATAAATTATATCTAATGGCTTGTTTGTTTTGCATGAATGTGGAAGGAAAGATTCAAGAAGGAAAGAAAGTGTGAGGATTATTAATTCTTCCTTCGTTTGGAACATCATTAGAAAGGGATGGAGGGATTAATTTGACTGGGTCTCATATAAAAAATGTTTTAGATCTTTTACTAAACAGAAAGGTGGAGAGAAAGCCATCATTATGTTTAAAATTACAAAATTGACCTTCAAATCTCTTATGCATATAAATGTGATTTTTGTCAAATAACCATTTTTTTAAAATTAAATATTAAAATAACTACTTTTTCAAATTATTTATCAAAAATTAATCACATTTCAAACAAAACAAATTGGATGATAAAAGGAGTAGTCACTCAAGATGGTGCATGCTTTAATATTTTAAACTAAGACGTCACTTCTAGTGGTGAATGCATATACATGATGTCATTGCAAGTGGCACATTCGTGCATCCAATAAGAGCATTTGCCATAGGCAGTCTGCGGCTACTGCTTTGTTTTTTTTTTTTTTTTTTATATTAACTTTAATGATTTTAATTAAAAAATTGAAATAAAAAAGAAATTTAAAAATAATTTATGATATTATTTCATAAAATTCAATTACACAACAATTGAATACAAAATCAATGACTCATCCGATCGAAATGTTCTTCGGTTCCACATCTTAGCGTATTTGTCTGTCTTCGAGGTCTTTCACTATTTCCCTGAAGTGTTTGGGGTCTTTGAGTGTTGGCTTGAGATAAAGGTGGTTGTTCAAACCGCAATAAAGCGACAAGAGACAAAAATTTAGTTTTGAAGGAATTTTCTCCGAGATTTATATCGTCTCCACAAGAATCGATGTGAGGGAAAAAATTGCCATTCAATGGTCTCTATATTTCTAAACTTATGGTGCAAAAGTTTTGGTTAAACAGTTCAAGTAACTAAAAATAAAGGCATAAAATATAAAGACGGAAAATATAAAATACAGACTGAAATTTAAATGGAGCTTTGCCGAGATTGGATCTCATCAATTGATAACACATGCATTATTTCAATCATGTTATACACAACTCAAACGTCCGTTTAATATCATCACGTATCACCCACAACAGAGGTTATGTCTAAAGAAAAATTGAGAGACCAACCGTATTGTCTCATCAGTGATATCCCATGCAACAAAACCAACACAGAGCATTAAGAATTGATACTCATGTGAATGTTCAACCTAAATATATGTCTAGAGTTTAAAGCCAACAGATACTACTATCACATCCATATCAAATTATTTGTTTGATTCATATATAACGCCATGATCAAAATACATACACATGATTAACCCTTTTTACATGCATTCACCTAATCTGCCAAATGTATGTGAGCAAGTTTCTCATCTCTACTATCACGCATCCTCAAATATCGTTCGCGTCAAGAACGTTATCATGGTTTCTACCGTGTTTATCCTACTCCTGCTACTAATCAATAATATATGATACAAATGAATATTAACTTACAAAACCATATCAAAAGTTTACTTATTGATAGATGAAAATCTAAGACCAAAAATTTGAAATAAAAGTTTTGTCAAGACCCACAAATAAGCAATAAAAAACAATCAACAACAGAGAATCAAAACTAGTTCACAAACATACATTAGATGAAATACATAAGGTATCAAAAGATTACATCCAAACCTAACAAGAGATTGAAGATCTTACCTTCTCTCTTTTAGGATTTGTGTTTCTCTCTCTAGAATATACTTGAAATGAAGAGAGATGAAATTCTGATCCCAAAAATATAACATCCCATTCTAAAAAGCAGGAAAAATACTTATATAGTATTTACAAAATATGTCATGTTCGCGAACAATCTATTTGCCTAGAAAAGTTCCCTTTTTGGCACTTGATGTGCCTCAGGAACAGTTAAACCACCTTTGAAAAATATTTGAGTTTGTCGTGCGAGCAATTTGCACTGCGAACTACCTCATTATAAGCTTACACAAAGAACTTAGGATCCTTTAACTACTGACTTTCAAGGTTTCCTCCTCGCTGCTACTTCGCCCAGCGAACAGTCACTGGCTGCTAGCTATTGTTCGCCCAGCGGACATTGCAGAATCTTCACATTTCTTTGACTTTCTTATCCAATCTTTTGTGTCTTACCCATTGATGTTTTATGCCTAATTGCTGCACATAACACACACATCAAGGAATCCAAAGGTATTTGAAATATAATTGAAGAAGCACACAAGAACATGAATTACATCTATGAATATCTAAAAGTTGAGTTGAAAAGTGCCAAGAAAGATAGTTCATTTTAAGTCAAAATTCGCACTTAACAAACTCTCTCTAACTAGATTTAAGCTTGTCCTCACACAAAGTATGTCCCTCATGAAATCAAGAGAAATTTTCTCAAACAAGAGGATTTGCTTAAGCATAAAATTCAACCAAAAAAAGAGATAACAATTCAAATTCAAACAAGAGAAATTTGCTCAAATAAGAGGATTTAGTCAAGTATGAAAATACGCACAAGCAACGCTCACCACTCAATAGAATTGAACAATGACAAAGAATTTAGTTCTTAAACAAATATCATGCAATGTTTCAAATAACAATTAAATTCTCATACTTGAATTACTCTAACATTCCTCTTCAAAATAAGAATGAAGAAATTAACGCATTTGCAACCGTGGGGAATTTCACTTACCTGACAAACAATGCTAATAACAATCTAATTTATATATTCATCTAACAATCAAAAATGAAAGCGTGGAAGCAAAAAGACCACTAAGGGATTTTAAGGTTGTAGCTTGGCCGGGTTTATAACAAAGGGTCATTTCTAAAGACCATTGAATAAAAATTGTCAATGCAAAAGAAACATTCACTATACATGGTATTTACACATTCCAACTTCATTAACCACTTTATTTCCTCTATTGCAAACCTTTTCAAACTTCTTTTTGTACAATCATTTAATTCTCTATTTTTCTTTATCAAACAAGCATTCTTTTTCTTTTGTTTTTCACATTCATATTCACACTTTTTCTTTTCTAATTGCTTGAAATTTTTCAAAAGTTTTAGCAACCTACCATTCTTCTTTTTCATTCTCCCCAACTTGAATTCAACCAAACCTCAAGTAAATTCTCCTTGCTTTTTATGGCAATGAAATCAATTTAAACAACGTTCAAAGGTTCATGAAATTTTTTAAAGTCTCACAAAATTCAATGATGAACAAAACTTTCAAATTATGTACATAAACCAAGTTCATCACAAAAATGAGAGCTAAATTTTTTAGGCTCAAAAGGGTTAACGAATACTCACTACTCACGAGTAAGTTACTGTTTGGATATGGTTGTGCTCATTATCAACAAATTCCTTGATCATTTCTAATGCTTCCACAAAATCACAATAATCAAAAGATAAAGCATGAATTAAACAAAGTTTATCAATCATCCTAGCATATAGTAAACAATGGAGGTTTCTCACAATTTGTGGCTTTTGATCCTAAGTGAAACAAACATTCAAACAAGTTGCAACAAGAAACAAGAATATGCATTTGTACAAAGCACAAAATTCTTAAATCATTCTAACATTCTATAAAGAGGTACAATTTACCTTTCTTGCATTCACACACTCAACGTCCTACCATCATCATCCAGACTTAAGAGAATCTTCATTGGATATTTTTGTACAAATAGTAACCAATCTAAAAGAGGTTCTCATCATTCCTCCCTAAATAACACTTAAGAAAACGTAAAAGAAAACAAGTATATACAAAATATAGACAACTGTACAAAGCTCAAAAATATATAAACTATTGCAAAGCAATTCAATATCTAAACACCAATCCTCGGTAACGGTGCCATTTTGTTCAAACTACAGTAAAGCGGAAAGAAGCAAAAATTTAGTTTTGAAGGAATTCCCTCAAGGATTTATATCGTCTCCACAAGGATCGGTGCAAGGGAAAGAATTATCGTTCAGCGGTCTCTACAGTTCTAAGCTTATGATGCAAAAGTTTTGGTTAAACGGTTCAAGGAACCAAAAATAAAGACATAAGATATAAAGACGGAAAATATTAAGTAAAGAATGAATTATAAATGGAGCCTTGTTGGGATTGGATCTCATCAATTGATAACACACGCATTCTTCTAATCATATGTTATACACAACTCAAACATTCATTTAATACCATCACGTATCACCCACAATAGAGGTTATGTCTAACGTAAAGTCGAGAGACCAACTGTATTTTCTCATCAGTGATATATCACGCAACAAAACTAACACAGAGCATTAAGAACTGATACTCACGTGAAT